TGTAGGAGCAGTAAGGAGGGTACCTCTGCTAGGCAGAGAGTCCACATGGGTTCTGGGGAATGCCCCCCCATCAGGAACAAGCCCTTTTCCGCACTAGGAAGTGCTTCCACTGACTCACTCTTTTCCCCCGCCTTCCCTATGCAGGATGTCTGCACTGCTCTGCTGATCACGGCCTACAGATCCCTCTGCTGGAAGGACACCCTGTCCTGCCAAAGAACCACCACACAGCTTTGCTGGCCACTTCTCAAACAGGTACTAGAGGAGACCATTGATGGAAGAAGGCAGAAATGGAGGCTCTGGGTACTGGTGTCTCCATTCCTCCTGAGCCTCTAACCTTCATGGACGGGCTCTGACTTTGGTCTGGATGGGGGCTAGATGTTCTCTCCATCTGGAGCAAGCCTGGCTTATATTAGTTGCTCAGTTCTATACTGCTGTTGCCTCTCCCACAGGTGCTTACAGGGAACCTGCTCCCTGACGCAGTGACCTGGTTCTTCACCAGTGTGCTGAAAGGGTTACAGACACACGGACAACATGATGGCTGCATGGCAGCTCTTGTCCACCTGGCCTTCCAGATCTATGAGGCTTTGGTAAGGAGCTGTGGAGGGAAAAGGGGAATTTTTATCATGCCAGGTTTGATATGTTGTAATGAATGAACTGTTCTCAAGCCTAAGTAGGGAAGGAGTGGAGGAGGTAGCAGCCCCTTTCCTCTGTGCTATCAGGCCAAGGTGAAGGCTTCTGTGGTAGAACTTCTATTGACTGGTCTCTTCCCTTCTCCTGGTAGCGTCCCCGCTATGCTGAATTGAAGGCAGTGATGGAACAGGTCCCAGAAATCCAGAAGGATGCATTGGAGCAGTTTGACTGCAAACTTCTCAACCCAAGTCTGCTGAAAGCAGCAGACAAGCGCCGGAAGGACAATTTCAAACGCCTCATTGCAGGCTGCATCGGGGTAGGTGACTGCGGCGCTTAGATTCCTGGGTTCCTGAATCCTGCAGAAATGGCCCTAGCCATCCTGCATCTCCCCTTAGCCCGTCCACCTCGCTGATCCTGCTGGAGGGTGGCCGCAGTACATCTTATATAGTGTTTGTGTTGCTCTGGCTCTCTCTTCAGCCTTGGCCTGGGTGAGATTGTACCTGAGCACTCAGGGCACTTTGTGGGAGCTCTCAGGAGGGGCTGCTGGCACATGCAGAGGTGGTGTAAGCATTACTGGGCTGGGCCCACAAGTGTGTGCAGAGCCTTAGTCAGGACGCTGCCATTGGGCTAGAAGCATTGGGCTCTAATTATGTGGTCACAATCAAGACCCCCTTGTGACAGTGTCACCTGCTTTGGCATGTACAGCAGATGCCAGGCTACTCTTCTGGAGGCAGAAAAGTTGGGAGATGTGAACTGAGAGGTAGGGGTGGAGCATGGCGCCTCAGCTGGGTGGTGACTGCCATAACATCGGAGAATGCTTATGGGACACTTAAGTGACTCTGGGATCCTTAGGCTGAGTGGGTCTGTGGGTGCAGTAACTAATCTAAACCTGTCCCGCTGTCCTTTGCAGAAGCCTCTGGGGGAGCAGTTCCGCAAAGAGGTTCACATCCGGAACCTCCCATCTCTCTTCAAAAAGGTGAAGCCATCACTGGAGACAGACGTGCTGGAGAACAATGAGGCTGGAGAAGGTCTCACTGCCCTGTTTGAGCCCTGAGCCTGGGGCACCTCAGTCATCCCTTCGCCCTTCATATTTTCCATCTCCTCTTTTAGTAACCACATTAGATTCCTCTTCTCACTTTTCCATGGCCCTTTGCCCAAACAGAACCCTCGTTGGTTTCATCCCCGTACCTTTTCCTGTGTGGGGATGTGGCCTGGGTTTGGACTTGATCCAGCCTGTCCAGCTTTTCCTGATTCTCTTCCTCCTCCTCCATCAGATTTTCAGCTTTAGGCCTCAGCTTGTGTACAAGATGAGAGCTGAGCACATAGACTTCACTAGGTAGAGCCTAGTCATATTGGAGCCTTGGGTCACTTGAATCCCACCTGCTTCTGAGCTAGCCCCTCAGGAGTTCGATGTAATGAGGCAGAATGGTATCCCAGCTGAAGATGGCACTCCCAGCCTTGTGGAGGAAGCCAAGCTTCACCTGATATGCATTACACTCCTATCATGCCCACCACTGGCTACTCCCATTTGGCATCATGTCCAGTGTGATGGGGGCTTGTTTTCTGGAGAATCTTTCCCTTTCAGATTACTTGAAAGCAGCCCATTTTCTCAGCGGTGATTGTTCTCCTGGTTGGGGACTGCCTGCTTAGGAGTGTTACAGTGCCCTCAAATCCCCTTGGACTCTGTTCTTCAAAACACTGTTCCTCTCTAGGAGACAGATCTTGTCATTGTATGTGTGCTCAGTAGATCTTACTCCACAAGGAACCACACACAAAGCTGCCTTAGCCTTGTGGCAGTTTCTACCAAAAGCCCCTCAGGACTGGGCCAGGAATCTCTCACAGCATTCCCTGTGGACTGGAACATGACAGGTGCAGAGTATGGAAGATCAGAACCAGTCTGTCAAGAGCCTGTAAGCCCTAAAGGGTATCAGCCTTCATGAGAGGGGGTCTGCATTCTACTGTAGGGGTATGCAGTAAGAGCCTGTAAGCCCTAAAGGGTATCAGCCCTCACGAGAGGGGGGCCTGCATTCTACTGTAGGGGTATGTAGTGTCCAGCATCACCATTCTCCTAAGCTCTTGATATCCAGGGTTGAGGAAGATGGGGATTAAATTTCTTATGGACTGTTTTAGCAGAATAAGGAAATGGGGACTGAGATTTGGGCCCTGTTTTGGTGGCAGACACAGTAGTTTAGAGTCTGTTATTGGAGAATCAAGTGTTGTGGCAGGAATTGGGTTCTGTGATGCAAATTGCATGATGGAGGAAGGTCTTTATCCAGAATCAGCTTCTATGGTTTGCCATCCATGGAACTGCAAAAGAACAGGTACTGAACCCACTGCGAAGAGTACTGTCTAGGCTGTGACATGGACAAGGGGCAAAACAGAAATCTTAGAAAAATGGAGCTGGAGAGATCTGCAGGCATTGGGAACACAGCTTGACCATTTTGGCCTGAGCCCATTCATCCTACTGCCCTTGTTCCATAGTCCCTTCCACTCTTTGCCTCATATTTTTACTTACTCCTGAGCTGAAGTGGCTCCTGGCCTCAGCAGAGGCTATCTGTATTTATTGTGTTGTGGTATTTTTAACATTGTGACTTCATGCTAGAAACAAAGATTTTTTTTAATGGTTTTTAGAGCCTTCTTTTGTAGGACTTATTAAAAGCAAAGCTGTCTCTGGATTGGTGGTTAAACCTCTGAATGTCAGTAAAGGTATTTCGGTTTCATACACAAAGTATCATGTCTGCCTTTATTCTGTGGTGGTCTTGTCCATTTGATGCTGAGGCCTCTATACTGTGTTTCTCCTTACAACACCCATGTTTTACTTCAGTGACAAAGTCAGACTCTCAGCATTGTATACTCTCTGGTTTGACTTTGATCATTAGACTATGCCAAGAACTAAATCTGTGTGAAGATCAACTCAGAAGCTTAAGAACTGTAGTTTGTGTTCAGAGTATCTAGTTAAGGAGGAGTCATGCATGACCTTTTGAGTCCAACTGCTGAAATCAGGCAGGCAAAGAAACTAGAGTTTCACTTAAATAAAATATGGCCTCTTTCATGCAACCACCTCAACTATAACTCTGCCTACATTGACATACAAGAATGTATCACCACCATGAAACAATGTAAAGGCTGGGGTGACTAATTTACCTTTTTGGAAGGACTTCCTGATATTGAGCTATGGAAACTGATTTCCATTGGGTGAAGTTGTCTAGTCTGAATTGTTTGAGATATTAAGATTAAGGCCTGAAAACAAAGTTCATGTAGAACAGGCCAGATTTGAAGACTAACAGTGGTCAAGACTAAGGATGTTAACTTGGTTAATTTACTAGTCAAGTAGTCGATGGAAATTCCATTCATTACTCAATAAGCACTTGTATATTTCAAAGGAGGAATGCAGAACTCTGTGTGCAGCCAGGGCTGCTGACACTGACGTGCTAGCTTTGAAATGTACAAGAGTCCCCAGCAGGCCCTCACTGAGCCCAGGGTCAGCACTGCCAATTTGAGACACTGAGGCAGCATTTCAAAGGAGCAATGTCACAGCTGAGCAGATCAGTTGTGCAGCATTCCCCCTTTTAAGTAGCCCCTCTTCCAGCTGCCTTTATCTGAGAAGCAGCAAAGAGGGGAGAGGGACCAACTAGTTGACTGATAAACATTTGCTTACCAGATAGTTGACTAGTCCTTAACATACTTAGTCAATACTTTGCTAATATAAAGCTAATCTGTAAGCAAGAGACATACCCCAGCTCAGGGCTGAAGGTAAAACACTAATTGATAAAAGACCCAGGTGTAGAACAGTAATTGGTACTAGGCATTGACTCTCAATCCATTACATTGGTCCTGGCCATAAATTTTAAACACATTCCAAAAGGATGGTAACACTAGCTTTGTTAAAAAGGATCTTGATACCTACACTGCCCACAGATACCAACTCAGTTTCAGGAAAGGATTTAAAACCATGGTGTCCATTATGTTAGCCATATTTGGCTAGTTGCAGGTAGCTAGTTTGCTATAGCAGTAGCCAGTATAGTGAAGTACAGGATTCCAGCAGTCATCAGTCGTATTACCAGTAGCCAGTATAGTGAAGTACAGGATTCCAGCAGTCATCAGATGCCCTGTATTATGCTCCTACTATAATAACTTTAGATGATTAAAATTTGGTTTCAGAAGTTAGCAAGTTACTATTTCAAGTTTTTTCCCCTAGGTTGGAAAAACTGGGCAGCCTTACTTTTAGTTACTTGAGTATTATACTTTCCCTCTTCATACTTTCATTAGGTGTGGTGAAATCTGCAGTCATATTACATGCCTACATTTAGCAAGATGAGACTCCATAAGAACAGGCTAGTGTCATCTTCTAACATTCTGGAGAAGATTAAGAATGTTGAAAATCCCTTTTTTAATGTTTATTTATGGATGAGGAAGCTTGAGCTGGAACATGCACTCCTCTATAAACAGTACTACTCCAACTGTCACAGCAGACCCCCATCTTAATACAGATGGACTTATCATTCTTCCCCTTGGTGATCAAATAACTACAGCAATAGCTCACACTGGATGAAAAAAGGCAAGAGGTGTATTGGCCTCAACACTCTAGCCCGCATCTTGAAGCACCAGCCCAAGTATTGTGGCACTAGCATTTTTTTTGTTAACAAATTAGTAGTAAGTGATGCCTTTTCCCACTTACCCTAGCAAATCAAGCCGCTCTAAGGTTAAATTTACTTAAGTCTGACATTTAAAATAGCCTCTTATTAAGAATGCCACACAATTTGCCTTGAGCTAGAGCTGGCCCTTCTCCTTACTAAGGTTTCGGTTAGCTCTAGGACCTTTAGTAAGGCCCAGTACAAGCCTCTGCTGGCTTTACTGGTAGTCCTCTGCTAGTGCTGCACATTCTTAGAAAAAGAGCTTTAAGATTTTGCTAACTCTTGCTAGCATGTAGCACCTCCACTTTCAGCTGTGTATATCACTCCTGAAATTTAACAGCACTTTCATTTCTAGTGTGTCCATCTGGATAGCCCCAGTGCTTAGCAACCTTGAAGCAACACCTCCCCCACTTTACACAGATATGTGGGCTTGAAACAATTCCTGAAAATAATCAGTCTATACTACTCAGATATGAACTGCTCAGTCCATATGGTTGGAGTCCAGCTCATCCAGGAACCGTCGACATTTCCCTATCAGCACTTTGATGGCCTCACTCATCAACACATCTGGAGGTAGGATACCTGTTGACTCCACTGAGACTGCAGAAATAGAGACAAAGGGCAAGTCAGCTATTACCCAACATCAGATCTTCCATGTTCATGAATAATTTAGATAATGAAGTGGAGAATATGTTGACAATGTTTGCAAATGACACCAGGGGAGGAGTTTTGAGCACTCTGGAGGACATGATTGAAATTCTATCAAGAGAAGTGCAAAGTACTACACTTAGGAAGGAATGCACAACTACAAAATGAGAAATAACTGGCTAGGGTTATAAAAGTTAATATTCTGAAGTGTATCAACAGGAATGTAAGAAAAGGTAACTGTCCTGCTTTACTTTGGTGAGGCCTCAGCTGCAGTGTTGTGTCTGATTTTGGGCACCACACTTCACGAAAGATATGGAGAGGCAAGAGGAGAGCAACAAAAATAAGAGGTTCAGAAAACATTAACCTGTGACCAAAAGAAAACTGGTCGTGTTTAGTTTTGAGAAAAAAAAGACCAGGGGGTGAGGGAGGGAACCATCCTCAGATATGTTAAGTGCTGTTACCGAGACAGTGATCAGTTCTTAATGTCCACTGAAGAAATAGCAGCTTAATTTGTAGCAAGAGATTTAGGTTAGATACTAGGAAAACCTAAGCGTAAGGGCAGTTCTCTCTGGAATAAGCTTCCAAAGGGATTATGGATTTTTTTTTTTTTTTTTAAGAACAGGATGAACTCTGTCAGGGATGATTTAGCTTCCTTAGTCCTTCCTCAGTGCAAGGGGCTTGACTTGATCACATTTCAATGTCCATTCCACTTTTATGATTCCATACTCCCCACCATTCTGTCTGTGACTACAAGCAGAAAGTGACCTGTACACAGTGACAAATTAATCCATTGTGGGCAACAGAACAGACACTGCAGGGTTTGTTCAGTACAGGGAGAAGTAAACAGATGCTTCCTGCCCCAAAACCAAAAGTCAAGTTCTCATGAGGCACCTGTTGTAAAATGAATGTATGAAAGTGTTGGACAAACAAGTTTAGAATAGCATGATGACAAGTTTCTGCAGGGTGAGAAGCCAAGGAATGGGCTGAATAATGCAGCAGCAGAGAAAGATTACTTACAGATGTAATGATCTCGCACTCGTGCCAGACGCACAAGGTTTTTCAGATCATCATGACGAAAGATCTCTCGGCTAAATGTATCCATCCGAGCATTGGCCACTTTTGCCACCTTCTTCCCTGCAGAAGATGGGGTATGTATTTATTTATCCCTCTCTCCACACTGGTGGACCAGCAATCTTCTCCCTGCCAGTACCGCTCCCAAAATATACAGTTCTCCCCACCAGGCAAAGGCACTGAAGTCCTACATAAAAACTACCTTACTCCCCAACACAAAGCTCAGCAAAGCATAAGCCTGAGTGGGCTGCTCCAGCTGAAAAAATATACAATGTACCCTGTTCAACATTGGGCACAGGTCCACTTGAGGCCTCAAGACTGCTGAAAAAGGCACACTCAAGAGTCCACAACAAAACCCCAAAAGAGCTAAGTGGATAGGTGAATCCTGCCCTAGCATCTCAGGGAGAGAACAGGGAGGCCTTAACCATCATATTTTACACATGACAAACCCATTCATTTGTAGAGCCCAAACCCAGAATAGAGATTTAGTACTGAGGGCCATTTGGAGAGTAGGCTAGGTTTGTAATACGCCTGGCTCTAGCCTGTACTCAGTCTCATCTCTGCAAATTCAGAACCCCTGGGATAGAGTGAAAGGTACCTTTGATATTCTGAATCTCAATAACTCCAGGGGAGAAGCACTTCTTCAGTGTCTCAGCTGCCTCACCCTCAATGGGTTGCAGCAGAGTGATTTCAGGCAGCAGCCGGTAACTAGCTGTAGCCACTGGAGAAAACTTGGCATGGTCTTTACCTGAGACAAGACATAAGACAGCTGGTGCACGTGTATTTGTCTGAGTTTCTGTAAAATCTCCCAGCGGGCTGCTATTACTATGGCTCTTCCCAGCCCAATATTCCCTAAGCAGGCCTTTCACAATGGTACAGTTGGAGGCAACAAGACATCACAACCTGTTCTGATGTTACAATGCTCCTTTGTGCAGCCAGAATGGAAGCCCAATTTATAGGTGATGGATGATAATTGCATTCAATTTAGTTTAGGGATTCCTCCTAGGATTGCTTTGGGCTACAGTAAATATGAGCAGCACCCACCTCCATTCAGTGCCCACTGATTCCCCACTACACATGGTTAAGCTCTGAACATAAAAAACAGCCAAATTGGGTGACCAAAGGTCCATCTAGTCCAATGTCCTGTCTGCCAACAGTGACCAATACCAGATGCCCCAGAGGGAGGGAATACAGCAGGTAATCCTCACATGATCCCTCCTGTCACCCACCTCCAGATAAACAGAGGCTAGGGACACCATTCCCTGAAGAGCTCCTTAATGCGTGCAATGTGAGACAGAAGAAGCTAAGAGCCAAGCCGCACTGAAGGCCACACAGCTCAGGGACCTATGACCCTGTGCCCCTACACACACTGTACCTGAGAGACTCATGCTTTCCATCTGCCAGTTCCAATGAAGTCTCGACTCACCTATGCCTTTGACACAGTGCATGAGCACATCAATTTCCTGGCCAGGCCGCAACTGGGCAATAAGGATGTCATCATGAACAGGACGCAAATCTGCATCTGCGAACAGGTCTGCTTGATTTCCCAGGGGTACCCATGTCATGTGTTTGCTGTACACTGGAGAGATTTATCACAGGCATCAGGCCAAGTCACCTGAGCACCCAGATAGATGGGGCAATACTTATGCAAGAGGCTGCTGTTCCCAGCAGGGCAGGAAAATACAATGCTGAACAGGGCTCGACAATCTATGTAATGAGCGAGTAAGATTACATCCCGGAAGACCCGGGTTCAGGTGATCTGCGCATGCGCAGAACACCAGACAGCACGGCTGACAAGCGGGGCTTGCCGCAGCTCGGCGAGCCCTGATGATGAAATCAGATCTTGCAAAAGGGAAGTTTCATAGAAGGAAGGGGTCAGTTTTCTTCATGCCAGGGTATAGGAAGGGGAAGGGGAAGAGAATTCTCTTTCTGGTTAAGGTAGAGCTCGTTGGAGTCAAAGTCCTAATCTACTTAAGAAGAGAATTTACTTCCAGAGCAGATGGTTTTACCTTTGTGATTAATGTAGAGCTCGTTGGGATCAGATGAATCCTTAGCAGCACGAGGATTCTGTTTGCACTTGATTTTCAGCTGGAACTGCAGTGTGTCAATTTCTGTGCCTTCCTCATCATCTACAAAGGGATGGGGAAAACAGAATGAGTCCCTGCCAGGCCATCTCTTCACTGATCAGATTCTCACTCACTCCTGGAACTGCAGATTTACTCAAACCATCTGGCACCATCAGAGCAGCATCCAATATGTCCATTTATCATAAGATCCTCTGCACAGAGTCTCACCTTGGTTCTTATATTCAAAGAGGCGTGGGTCAGCTCGGATGGGGATGAGGCCCAAGCGATGGGCCAGGATCTCATCCTGCACTATTGACGTGTTGTTGTACACAAAGACCTTCTCTACAGCTATTGTTGGCACCTGAGGGAAAAGGAGACAGGCAGTAAGTACCCCAGCCATGCACTCTTTGCTAAGCACCATTCCTTAATACCCAACCAAAAGTTTTTTTGCTCCACCCCACCCTCTTTGGAGTAAGTCAAACTCTTGCCCTTCACAGATACCATCACCAAAGGAGGATCTAGATCAGGATCCTGTATCTTCTTCATTCCCTGCTTTTACCACTTTCCCTCTCTCTGTTTGCTGGTTCCCTCCCAATAACTGTGTTGTGTAATTGCTAATAATTTGAATGTTACCACTAACTTTAATAGGATTTAGTATTACCCATTATGAGCAGTTGTAGAACATGGCCCTATACCAGAGACATAGATCTGTGCATAGGCTCTTTAATAGCTATTAGCAGCTGGACTATACTTCTCATCCTAGAAATGCAACAATTTCTGTTTTAGCACTGGTGCTCTCTTACACAAACTCATTACATAAACTTCTAGTTTACAGGGTCAAAGACTGTACTACCTGGAGCACACTGAGTTCTGTAGTCCATGGAATATCCTCAGTGCACTTCAAGCCTATTCTCCACCTCACTGAGTTCGGAGATTCTGCCTTCTCTATACTCTTCAGTCACAATCTCACCTTTCCAAAGATCTGGGTCTCACTCCCCCCCAACACTCCCAGGAGCTAGTGCCCCAGCTGGCCTGCCTTCAAACTTCTTTACCAGTTAACACAATCTAGCTTCTGGGCAGAGAAAGAGAAGGTTAGGATACATTTTTTGTCTATCGCAAAGATGCTCAACATTAGCCAGGTCTAGCAGTGAGAAAAGACATGACAGGATTTGATGGGACTAGCAACTGGGTCATGCAGCCCTGGCATGAAGATCCGGAAGCCTCTGTGGGTACCTCAGCGAGCAGGATGCGCCGGAAGGCATTAGCAATGGCTGCGTCAATCCCCACCATGTCGAATTCCAGCGTGTTCTCATCCATGTGGATCACGTCCACCCGGAAATTCTGTAGGGCACACGCAAGGGAGCAGTCACCAGGTACCAATTCACGAGGAGGGGCTCAGCCTTGTTGGCTGCTGCCAGGTGCAGAGGGGTATTGAGCAGGTGGCTAATGGCCACCTGCTATGGGGCTGCAGAGGCCAGCCACAGGAGACCCCAATGTCTCTCCCCCCCCAGCCCCCGCCGCTTGCAAGGCCTTGGTCCCTCACAGGTTCCCTGCTAAGTTCCCTCTAGGGTGCATGCCTGCACAGGCGTGCACAAAGAATTTGAAGCCCGCCCACCTCTTCATCAGAGCCACTGGAAGGTAAGCTGCTGGCGGTAGGCTCTGTGGGAGACTGGAGGGATAGGGTTGCATGGTGGCTGCCCAGTTGCTCCTGGGATAGGCTGTATGGTGGGTAGCTGCCCTGTGTGCTGGTGCCAGCTCCAGCCCCAGCCCCGGTACACAGGGTAGCTACCAGCGACATAACCCACCTAAGAAGCAGCTGGGCAGCCACCATGCAGCCCTGACCATAGCTCCAGCCCTTCCCCACAGCTGAAGTTGTTGGCCACGGCAGGCCATGTGGCACTGCCCAGCTGCTTCCTGAGGAAGCCATATTGCAGGGGAAAGGTGGGCTGCTGAAGCTGGAGCCGGGTTGCTGGGCAGCGGTTGTTCCTGAGGCCAAGGCTGGAGCTGGGCTGTGGTGAGGCTGTTCCTGGGGCTGGGGCCCACTTCATCCCTCTTCCCACCCCCACACGTCTCTTCTCCCCTCAGAGTTCCCTACCCCTGCAACCTCCTGCCAGCCCCAGCACCTAATTCCCTGCAAACCCTGGGCACTGGCAGCAGCTTCCCTCAGCCTCAGGCAGGGACTCTCAGCCAGCCTGGGGAAGAGCAGCGAGGGGGCAGAGTCTGCCCTGGGAGCAGAGCTCAGGTCTGCATGCTGGGAGAGTCTCTTGAGAAGTATCACCACTGGTGGGGGATATGGTGACACACATCCGAACAAGTGCACGTGACCTCATTATTGGCACAGAAGACAAAACTCACTTCGCTCATGGATGGAAAATATCTTAGCGGGAACACTGGTTCCCTGCCCCCTGCCTGCTCAGACCCCCTTTCTTCCCCCCATTAAGGGTCCCCAGTGGCTTCTTACCTGTTCAAACTTGGCTTGGTCCCAAGCGTCGTCATAGCCAGGGTAGTTGCCAGGAAAGTCCGTGGTGTGAACCTGGAGCAGAGGTGGGCAGTAATTTTTGTGGGTGGGCCACTTCATGAATGTTGGTCATGGGCTGGCTCAACCCCCCCCCCGCCAGAAGGGGCAGGGCCTGGGGCAAAAGGGGAGACACTGGGGACTCGCCTCTCCCCGGAGTTGTCTGGGGCTGGAGGCTCTGAAGTAAAAACACCGCAAAGGGCTCGGGGCCCCGGCCCTGCTGCTACCACCACGTTGCCCGGCAGCCGCCCGGGCTTGCTGCGGCCATTGGAAAGGCTCGCGGCTCCGGCCCCTGCCGGGCAGTGCTGCGATCGGGAGTCCCGGGCGGCCGCCAGGCAACACGAAGCGGCAGGGCCGGGAGCTGCAGGCCCTTTAAACAGCGGCAACTTCAAGGGCTCCCGACGCTGCTGCTGCATTTGCCCGGCTACCGCATCTATTTAAAGGGCGCGCGGCTCCGGCCCCTGCCGGGGCAGCACCACAGCTGGTGAGCCCTTTGGACAGGAGCCTTCTGCCCGAGCCGCGCCTGGAAACGCGGGGTCAGGGCCACAGGGCGCGACTAGGAAGCGGCCAGACTCCCTCCCTGTCAGGGGGCCGCATCTTGCCAGCCCAGCCCCGAGCTGGAGCGAAGCAGGGGCCGCGTGCCAGGGGCAAACCGCCCCCAACCGCCGCTCACCAAGACCCGGGCGCGCGCCCGGCCCCCTCCTGCCTCGCGCGCGGCCCCCAACTCACTCACGTTGCGGACCCCGAACTCCCCCAGTATCACCCGGCTCCGCATCTCCTCCACGCCGCCGCGCGCCGCCATCTTCCTGGCGCGCCCCCAGCACGTGACACGGCCACAATCCGGCTCTTCTCTGCGCAGTCGCATTAGTGAATACCCACTGCCCTGTCACGTGATACGGACCTTTCCTTCCGCTTTGGCGGCGCCGGCGCCTTAGCCCGACTTGGTCTTCACCATATTGGGTGTGGCGTTGACATAAGAACCAGCCACTACTGCTATCGCGGGGTTGTGGGTCTTCGCCGCTGGGTTGACGCTGTCTTGATAATAAGGCACAGCTCTCCCCAGACCCTTCTCCCAGAGGCGCCTTCATGCTCGCTCTTATGCCACAACCAAGATGGCGTCGAGACCTGGTCGCTAGTATGAGATCTCGCGAGAGCAAAGGCGCATCCACGTCCTCGGCCGAAGTTGCCGAGGCTTCTCGCGGGGTTGTGGGTCTTCGCCGCTGGGTTGACGCTGTCTTGATAATAAGGCACAGCTCTCCCCAGACCCTTCTCCCAGAGGCGCCTTCATGCTCGCTCTTATGCCACAACCAAGATGGCGTCGAGACCTGGTCGCTAGTATGAGATCTCGCGAGAGCAAAGGCGCATCCACGTCCTCGGCCGAAGTTGCCGAGGCTTCTGACGTCAGTCACGTCAGTCTCCAGACTAGGCTCCCCGGAGCCCCTGCAGTGAGGCGCAGAGCGGCCGGGGGCCCCGGTGCCCCCAGCCAACGGGGAGGATGTCCGGGCCCGGGGGGGCGGCGGGGGGCGGCGGCAGGCCCGGGAGCGCCGCGGA